GGCTGTGAAAGGACCCCAGAAAGCTGGAAGTGCTAGCAGAAAGACTGAAAGTGTTTGTAGAGAGACTAGACCTACTAGGCAGGTTATCAACCTCTCTCAGAAAACAACAGATGCTACTAAGTATCACAGCAAAGATCGAGGCAAAATTTTAACTGTAAAAATTGGGACATAAGGAGTGAAAGGAAAAAAGAAGCAACTGGGAGAAGAAAGTCGACTCGGAAAAAATACAGAATTTCAGTTACCAGAAGCAGGATCTGTGCTCAGGTCAGAGATCCCTGAAGGGAAATATTCAGAATAAAATAAGTCATAAAATTGAGTAATGACTAAAGATGGAGTCATATGCATAGTTATTTCCTGATGCAGTGTTTACCAAAGGTCACTACTTTCTAAGCAGTGCTGTGTGTCCTCCTCCCAGATTTTCTCAGGAAGAGCTTTTATGAACAAAGAGACAAAGAAATTTGTGTGTGCACCATACTGAGCATGCAGAGAAGTCATTGCTTCAGCTGATCTCAATCAGAGGTTCTCAGAATCTGCAGGATTCCCTCCCAAAAGGGGGCTCATTACCATAACTAATTATACACAGGCAACAGATAATCCAATGAGCCTAAATTCTCCATAAATTGCTTAAAAATTAAGGAGAAAAAAAGGTAGAGTCTAGTCAATGGTACTATCTCACAGGCTGAATTTGCTGGTAAAGTTAAATATCCCTGGGTAATTCTCATCATGAGGTTAAGGAGGGGTGAAGAGGGTAGGGGTAGGTTAGGGGAGGTTTCAATCCAGTGCCTTGACTTTGTGCTTTTTTTTTTTTTTTTCTGATTATGAAGGTAAATAAACACTTATTGCTCCATGCCAACACTATTTATTTTGTAAACTATTTGAAAGAAATTAGATGCTCAACGGCAAAACATCTAAAGTTGACTTAGATATCTCTCTACTATACAAGTCTATATTGCTTGAGTTTGCCAAACATTCATTTATCAGTTAGAGAAGTTTCAACCTTAGATGAAGTTTCAGCCCTTACACTTAAATATAAGTAAAGGGGAAGGGCTATCATGAGTATATATATACACTTCGAAACATCATGTTGTACACAATAAATACATTCAATTTTATCTGTCAATTAAAAAAAAAGAATGGCTTTTCAGCACAGCTAATTTGCTTCTGTGTCTTCTCTGTTCTTGTTCTGGAAGCATCTTCAACCACATGCATACATTAATTTTGGAGTTTCTGGGCTATGGTCTTAGCTCTTCTTTCATAATTCATTTTTATTCTCTTAGTTCATAGTAGTGAAGTCTGATTTTTTTCTCCTTGACTTATTTATACAGTAAATGGAAGCTTTTAAAACATGAGCTGGTCACCACTGGTAGTTTTTGCCTCCATTTTATCCATCAAAGTTTACTAAAACTTTATCCTCTCCTTGCAATTTTTAAAAATTATTATATACACATACATACAACATGTTTTATTCATCTTCCCTGAAAAAGGCATAGAACATTTTAAAAGGCCTAGAAATCTTGTAGAAGCTGGAATGGAAATGGTATCCTGGAGTGTGATTATAAATTAAAATGCCCCCATTGCTTTCTAAAGAATAAGTTAATACCTAGTATCATAAAACTCCCCTCTCCCCTCAAGCCTTTTTTTTCCCCTTTCATTCTGCAATATAATACTTCTCTTGATGTGAAAAAGTGCATCAGCATGTACTGATGTATAATTAAAGTAGATTTCCACTCAGCTTGCATGATGACAGTACAGCCACTAAGGGAATTGAAATATAATAAAAAGTCAGTTGGGTGAAGCTACCTAAGAGCAACATACCATTCACTCAAATTCCTTTGACTTGGTATCATGTGGCTCTCACAGCAAGTGTATTTGTGAATTTGGGGCAAACAAAATTAGGAAAATGTGTTATACATATGCCCAAGGATATCTGTTATCTCCCTATCTAGATAGATAGGTCCAAATAGATATCTATATCTATGCATCTATATCTTTCTTTCTTTTGGCATTTACTAAACAGGAGGATGTATGTTGTTTCAGCACAGATCCAGGCTCCTAATTAAAATGAGCACAGTGCTCTATGAATCAGAATTCCTAAGTTCTATTTTCTCCCTATGAATACAGAGCCAAATTTTGTCTTCAGCACCTTAAAATGATAGACTTGAGTCTTACTGGAAATTCTTAGATATCTACAAGCCCATCAAAAAGTACAAAAATCTAAAAATTAATTTTTAGCCACTTCTTTTGTAGAAGTGCAGTGCATGTAGATTTGGGAATAAAGTGATTTTCACCATTCAGAGAAAAAAATAAGTATGCTATTTCCTGATAGCTAGCAGTAGTTTTAAGAGAAAATGCCTTAATATATGACTCTATCTACCTACCTATTATCAGCCATCTATCTATGCTAAAAAATGGCTTAAAAATTACATGGAACATGTGGCATTTATTTAAAATTAGTTATGTATATTTTCAAATAATGAAGGTCATAGACCCAAGCCCTATATTTCTGCATCTGAATATAAATAAAATATTCCATCTTTTAACACAAATGCCATTGAAATTAAGTTGAAGCTTATTACTTAAGAACAAACTTCTTAGAAATTGATTGTATACACTTTTAATTAAGTAGGGAAACTAGAATTTTTAAATTCATATAACTTACACTATGTAATTTCCACTTACAATATTGTTAATTATTATACTTTTCAGAGATATCATTTTATTTACAATTATATATTATAATAAAAATATTGGAGTCATATTCTGCTTAAGTTTTAATAAAAATTTTATTCACAATATTATATTTGACCATGGCATTAAATTTTATTTGAGAAACATGATTTATAATGGCATAATAGTATTCCACAAAAGGATACCCTCTTTCAACAGTTTGTTTTCAATTACTTTATTATTATTGTATATATGCTGAAATCAATATCTTTGTGTACTCCTTTATTTTCTTTGACTCAGAATGACTTAACTTTAATGGGCCAAAGGGGAGTGATAGTTTTAAGGTTTCTAATAATTATGATTTTAAACTTGCATTAAGAATATGTATTATGAAATAAATCTCCAATTACTTTGCTATAAAACATAATAAATCACTGGAAGTATTTGAAATAATGCCTACATAGATGGACATTATATAATTTTTCAGTTATGAAAATTTATTTTAAGAAATTTTGAGATAATATCAGCAGTTACAGAGCTGAAAATAATTTTGCAGTAAACATTTAAAACATAAAAATTTGTAATCCAAATAAGACTTTGTTTTTACGTAATGAAAAAGATTTCTCAGTGCAAGTTATCACTGAACTTTGGAAACTGGTATGAGTTAGTTCTTTTAAACAAATATTAATATTATGCTGCTTACATGTTTAAATGTTCACAAAGCAAAGAGAGACATTCCAATTGCTTAAGGTAGATAATGCCACAAGTGGTTCCCAGCGAGTGCATCTGCCCGGATTGAACTGGGAACTTGCCAGTGTTCCACAGCACTCCGGAAACACCCACTCCTTCCCCTGACACGCCCCAATGCAACCCAAGGGTTTACAAAGGAAATTTTACAAAGAAACAAAAGTAAATAAAACAAGGCCGAAAAAGATTTTCTCAGAAATAGAAATATAAACAAAGATGCCCTTTGCTCAGTACAGATTTCTGAAGCAGTGTGAATGCTGAACTGCTACTTTAGCAATATCCACATGCACAACATAAGGAGGTTCAAATACTGAGTGTAAGCAAGTAGTTGATTGAGGACAGGGCACGTTCTGAATGACTTTTCTGAAAGGCTTTGTTTATACATGGACATAAATTGTCTTTTTTTTTTTTTCAATAAATGAAAGAAGTCATTAATAGAAATCGTTTTCTCTCTAATAAATGCTGAATCACATTTTATGACCTTATGAATATGGGCAGAACACAACACTGAGTATTGTTCTAAATATTTGTTTGCATTTAGTAGTAAAAAACCGAACCATTTTGCAATAAAATCCTTTTTTCAAAGGCTAGGTAGGGTTTTTTTTTTTTTTTTGGCTATATATCAAATAGTAATATACATTAATACTTTTTTTACTGCCCTTATAATATTACAATGTTGTTTCTGGACGCTACATTCAGTTTTCCAATATCAAATGGTGGAGTAAACATCCCTAGGCAACTGAAACTTTTAAAAGTTCCAACTCCTGGAGGCCGAGGCGGGCGGATTGCTCAAGGTCAGGAGTTCAAAACCAGCCTGAGCAAGAGCGAGACCCCGTCTCTACATAAATGAACGAAATTAATTGGCCCACCTGTGGAATATATATATATAAAAAATTAGCCGGGCATGTGGCGCATGCTGTAGTCCAGCTACTCGGGAGGCTGAGGCAGAAAGGATCACTCAAGCCCAGGAGTTTGAGGTTGCTGTGAGCTAGGCTGACGCCACGGCACTCACTCTAGCCTGGACAACAAAGTGAGACTCTGTCGCAAAAAAAAAAAAAAAGTTCCAACTCCTGAAATGAGAAGACAAATCTGTAGGTGAGTATTTTCCAAACCCTTTTTAGGGCATGAAATCATTATAGTGGCTCATGGAAGATTTTTAATGAAAAAGAAAGAAAATATAAAAATTATCATAGTGCATCTAAAATAGCAAGTTAAGTTTTATTTCATAAAACTTTGTGTCAGTAGGTATTGAGTGTGACATAAAATGTTTTCTGTGCTTTGATCAAAATCATTTGAAAAACATAGCTCTATGTCCACCTTCCCCAGAGTTTTGAATTTGAAAATTTAAAATACTGCCCCCAGAGTGAACAGATGGTATCTATTAGTCCCTTTTTAGTCTATGTTTTCTTTTCCTTTTACCACCTATCCCTAGTTAAAAGCAATGCATAAATATGTATTAATAAATCAGTAACTGCCATCCTAAAGAAAGAAATATAATGGAATGCGTTTTAAAAGTAGATGTTTTTTTTTTTTTTTTTTTTTTTTTTTTTTTTTTTTTTTTTTTTTTTTTTTTTTTTTTTTTTTGGTTTTGGCCAAAATTTTTATTTAGTATTCTGTAGTTGTTTAACACACACTTAAATGGTTTTACTGGGGGAGGGGAAAGGGGAGGTTCTTGCAGATTCCCAAGGAAATGTCAGAAAGGCAAAATATGGCCAGCATTATCCATTTGTTTTGGGTTTACTGGGTGAACAGCACTTTCCTTACATAGGCATTTGATCTCAGGTTTTTCATACTGAGAACATTTTGATTTCAGTTTGAAGACACCCTGAAATCCTAGAAGTAGCATACCCAACCACCCTCTAATAGCTACTTGTTTGTATAGGCAGAACGATTCATCTCTCCATTTTAGATGGCTAGATGTTTGTGGAAGATCTCAGAATTGCTTGCCTCATTTTACTGGGAAAAATCAGATAGGAAGTGGCCTTTAGGGACACTTTTACTTGGAAAATTACAACACTAGTACAACAAGTCTTACACATTTAACATTTGCTTGTTGAAAGCAATGTCATAAAGTCAAATAAAATTAAACATGTTTTACTTTTTTCCTCACAAGAACATAAAAATTATGGAGGGGAACTTAACAGGAAATTTTAAAAAGGTAACACAATTTTTCCTTTTAGTAGTCCTTGGGTAGTTATGATAATAGTTTCCACTTTTTGTTTGTTTCTTTGAACAGGGATTTTGGTCCAAAGTTTTGTTTGTTTCTAGTATCTGCTTCTGCCTCCCCCTCTATCAGATCGGCTTCCTCCACGGCCACCACCTCTTGGTGCTCCGCGGCTTGAACTGCTGTAGGAATCACGTGGAGGAGGGTACCCCCTTTCCATAGAAGGGGGAAGCCCTCTTTCTTGTCTGCCAACCCGATCACGACCACTTGAGTAGAGATCACTTCGGCTGCTTGAGTAACTGTCTCGACTTCCACCATATCCGTCACGTGAGCTGCTGTAATCATCATAGCGACTGCTTCCACCATAAGATGGCGGGGGCCCTCGTGTAGGTGGAGCACTACGTGAGTTACCATAACTCTCATATGAATCTCTGTAGGAACCTCCACTTGGATGATCTGAATAGTCACGATCACGACCATATCCATCTCTATCACTATAGCCTCTTGATGGATAGTCATCACGTGAACTGGAATGACCATAATCACGGTAAGTATAATCTCGTGGTGGTGGTGCATAATCTCTGGTATCACGAGAACTTGGGTAATCTCTGCTTGAATAGCTGTCTTTAGTAGAATATCCATCATCTCTTGGGGACAAATAAACATCTCTACGAGAGGGCAGGGGTTCCCTTCGAGGTGGGCCTCCATAACTATCTCTTCCACGTGATACAGGAGCTCTTCCTCCCATTCCACTGCTGCTGCGAACTGGTCCTGAAGGGGCAGATCTTTTAGGAGGAGGACCCCCACTTCGTGGTGGTGGCCCTCTTTTTACTGGGAGTGGTCCCCTGGAAGAACTCATGTTAAAATCCATGGAATAGCCACCATCATCCATGTGCCCTCCCCGTGAGGGAGGTCCCCTGGTTCCTCCACTTCCTCCTCTTCCACCCCTAAGACCTCTTGGAGGGCCTCTGCTTCTTGGAGGTGGAGGTGGTCCACGTCTACCACTTTCAAATGATGGTTTGGTGGCTTGTTCCACTTTGATGGCTTTTCCATCTAAAGACTTTCCATTCATGTCTCGGGCTGCATCCTTAGCATCTGCTGGGCTTTCAAAGGTGACAAAAGCAAATCCTCTTGATTTGTTGGTTTCTCTGTCTTTCATTAAGAGTACTTCCACTATTCGTCCATATTTGCCAAATACCGCTTCAAGGGCTTTCTCATTTGTTTCTGTATTAAGCCCACCAATGAAGAGCTTTCCTGGGCGATCTGCTTCAACCATTTTTTCCCCGGTGAGTCAAATAGTGGAACGTGGACGCGCATACTCAAACACTCAACACTCCATGACTGCAGTGGAACCTAATTAAAACTCGTCATTAAAAACCGCGTGTAAAAGACAAAATCAAAAGTAGATGTTTTTTGATGTTGCAGCCTGAAAAATATATTCATGGAAAGATAACCCACTCTTCAAATTCAAGGTTGTTCAGAGCTTGACTGAACTTTATAAGTTAAATCTATTGTCAACGATTAATGAGACTCTTGAAAAAAACGCAATCACAACTTGAAGGCAAAAGTACAAAAGAGGATGAACAATATACTAAACATTCTTTTATTTGTAAGATTTATTTTGAACTAATCCCCAAACCACAATGTTGTCCAAGAATGGAACAAAAAGTTTGTTGAACCACCGGAGTTACTTTCATCCTGGACCGCAGAACTTTTTAACTAAAACTAAAACCAAGTTACCTGTCTACAACAGGATCTGAGAGTCTCCGTATTGATCTCTCAAGACACTGCTTTGTAAAGTGTACACCAAAACGTTATCAGCAGCTATTTTTTTCTTCTGGATTTTCTGGATTTTCTGGATTCTAGCAACCAAGCCGTTTCAAAAAACGACGGAAAAAATGATGGACGTACTTCAATGCTCATGCCGGTGAGAGTAGAATAGACATGATGCAGATACATTTCCCTTCGTAAAAGCAAAAAACGAGTCCTGAGTTAACTATTCTTAATGTTGCCACTTCATTAAGTTATTCACACATTTGATTGGATTTGTTAAAATCCAGATGAAATTATCTTCTATGGACTCCACGTATATTTTTAGGATGAATAAATGAGTAAAAAATACAACTTTTTAAAATGGATTATTATCCATTTTTTTAACTAGTCTTTTCAAATGTGAGCACTGACAACTAATGAGATTTTAATTTCCACTAAATATATGTGGAAGAAAAAGAAATATTGGAAACAGTAACGTATCTTCATTGGACTATATAGGGGTGAGACTATAGAGATATTTATATTTAATATCAGTTTCCTTTAATTTGTACAGATTCTAGGATAAATTATTTCTATAGTCCATTTTTGTCATTTTTGGCAAAATCTTTTAAGGTGAATTAGTTGTCATGTATTGGATTTATTTTCTCTTTCTTTTATTTTTTTAAGTAAATACAGCTTAAATTACATGACCATATCTTGGAGTCCTAAATTAGACCAAATCAAATTAATAAATGTTTATTGATCGCTGTGTTTAAGATCTATTCTTTCAAATATAATGGTTCCTGTTACATGGAAACCCACTGCCACCAAATTGGATTTGTTCATGGAATACAAGGAGAGAGGACTTCATACTAATATTATTTTTGTGTATTTAGGCATTAGAAAAGAATCATATATCATAACAGAATCTAGTGGGATGTTTTTCAACTGCAGTAAACATTTGTATGTGTATTTATTTTATCTGCTATTCTGGTCTCTCCAGATATTTTCTATTTACACTAAATCTCCCCAGGTGAAATTATATGGGAAAGTCATGATAAAATACGGTTGATTAATCACTTTGAACATTCAAGGAAAGAGCAACACAAAGCAAAAACAGAGAAAGTGAGTATATAGGTACTTCACCACAGCTTTTGACTTCAGTGATTTAATACACCTCTGACAAAAGAGTTATGTCTTCCTTAAATACTTTTTAGTGACAGTCGTACAACTAGGCCATACAGAAACACAAAGCCTAATTTACAAGAAGATAGATGTCTTTCAGCAGGAAATAGTCTGCCAACGAACACTAGTTCAAAGGGCCAGAGACTTGAATGGAAATATTCCCTGAGCACCTCTCGTGTTATGGGTACTGTTCTATGTGCTAGAGATAGAACAGGCATGCTCTCTACCCTCAGGATCACATAGCCTAGAGGGGAAACAAATAACATAGTGTGTTGGAAACCGTGTCAGGCTTACATAGAGGTTGTCATTAGTGAAGATGGCATATTTAGAAACCAGAGCCCACGCTCATGCATTTGAGCTCTGTGTTATGACTTTTCTCAGTATTTGATATATCTGTACTAAGTGCTGTGTCTCCCATTTCTAAGTAGTTCTTCACAAAACAAGCATGACCACTGCAAATACCATCTAGAGAAATGTGGTGAAAATTTTTACCATGAATCAATCCCATATCGTGCCTAATTTTATTTTTTTACTTGTAACATCTCACTTTGCAATTTCAGCTTTCTTTGTACCATATTAAACAAAGATTATTCCAAAGTTTCTAAATCTGTTCAAATAACAAGAGTATGACTTAAGCTTAGGCTTATCATATCACTACAATACCAAGTTTAAAAATGATTCTATTTTTAGCCAAGCCAGTCTTCCATCAGTTGATACACACGTATCTTGCCATTCCACTTTGTATTCACCCTTGTTTTCTCCCCCAATAATTTGCATAATTTTAGCATGACCATGAAGTTTTAATTTAGGTAGTGGGACATTCTTTTAAAGTTATAATTAAGTTAATATAATGTTGTTATTAATAGCAAAAGGTATTAGAATGTCCATGGAATCAGAAGACATCAGATACTTATTGTAGACTATAAGTTATAATATACTTTAAAATAACTAAAAGAATGGAATTGGAATGTTCCTAACACAAAGAAATGATAAAAGGCTTAAAGTGATGGATGCCCCAATTACCCTGATTTGATTAACACACTGTATCCTGTATCAAAACCTCTCATATACTCTATCAGTATTAACATGTACAACTAGTATACATCCATAATAATTTAAAACACATTTAAAAAAATACCTGATACTGTTATGTTCTTAAAGTATACGCTCTTTTTTAAAAAGCATAAATATTCACTTAGAAGAACAGTAATTGCTCTATTAAATATGAACTAACATTTCTAAGAAATAGATCTTGATGCTCTAAAACTGCGGTTCCCGACCCCCTGGCCACAGCCCAGTCCTGGTCTGTAGCCTGGTAGGAACTGGGCAGTGAGTCACCCAGCTCTGCCTCCCCTCCACACAGACCCCACGCCACCCTGGCCATGAAAAAATTGTCAGGAAACCATTCCCTGGTGCCAGAAACTTTGGGGACCGCTGTGGGTCTGAGACAATCTCAAACAACTGATTTAAAAACAGGTATCTCTTTGCTTGGCCATGACTCAGCGATCGGCAAAGAGGAAGGAGTAGAGAGGAATGAAAGTAGTGGAGCCAACTCTAGCCAGGACCAACAGCTAACATTTTTGCTTTTGAATATGTTATATGAAGCGCCCTTCTAAGTGAAACCAATAAGCCCTAACCCAGCTTACAGCTTGATCGAGGAAACAAGAGGTATCTCCAGAGCGGTAGAAAATAGTTTTTAGGAGATCCAAAAACGTAACCCTGAGCATGAAACACCAACGAGACAACACACGATGCCGGCTTAGAAAGCCGCATTAGCAGTTTCAAGAGCAAATGTCAAATAGGGTCCACTGACCTGAGGAAATGTCTATCTGGCTCATCTTGGTCTGTGTGACGTTGATGTGGACACCCACTTTGCTTTCAGTGAGGTCAATCTCTACGTTGCCCAGATTATCCGCAAAGTGACTGAAGACCAGGAGACCGTTGGGGTTCCACGTCCTGAACTGGAAACTGACTGAGAGCAGGTCCTGGTTAAGCCGTCCGGGCACCTCCAGGTAACTTGTGGCATTGAAAAAGACAGGCACCGTGTAGGGCTCCACACAGGAGAAGCTCAGATTTCCCTACGAAAGAGAAGGGCGTGCTTTGAGGCACATATGGAATGGAATATGCATCCGTGCAAGACCGTTGACAATGCCATAGTTCTCCAAATCGCGAAGCAGAGCCCGGGCCTGTGCGACCTCACGCACAGCACCACAGCATGGCTTCAGTGATTGGATGCATCAATATGAATCCACTTGGAGGTAAGACTTGATCCTGCGTAGCAGTTGGCTGTCCAGCCAGTGGGTATGACAAGGAGCATCCACTGTGGGATTGCTAGACTGACAGCCTGACAGGACAGGATGATGAGAGGTGAAGTGTGGATTTGTGCGATGGGCTTGAGTGTAGACCCCTGGGCTTCTGGAAGACAGCAAAGCTGCTGCTGGCAGAACACAGGTCAGGGAGAGATGTCCCTGCCCTATTCTGGACAGCCCGCACTGATGCTCATTAGTATTTCACTTACTCTGATCTCAGTGGGAAATATGTTTATTTGTATGCTATTTATTGAACTGATATTTTAGAGAAATATCCGTGGATTGTATCTGTATATCTCATATATATATAAATTAATAGTAACGATTTAGCATCAGCATAATTGTGATTATTTCAGATCATTTTGTTATCCAACTCTAAATCTCATTTAAATTCCCATTAAATGTGCTTATATCACAATGCATGAATGCTTGTGGAACTAGTCATATAAATGGACAAAATGAAAACAAAACTTGCAATTATTTAAGCTTATCCCTCGTCCACATACTCTGCCTTGATATAAACAAAAAAATTGATTTATCATATAGATACTCCGTATTTTATATTCTAGTACCTAAGTACCTTCCCTTTAAAGATCTGAAAATCTACATTTGCTCCCAACTTCTTTTATCCTGTCATAAAATTTGAAGGAATGTAATTTGAAGACATTTTCATCAGGTCCTTCTATGTGTATATCTGTCTGTCTCTTCATCTCTCTCTCTCTCTACATATATAGATTTTTTTTTCCCATAACACCACACATATTCCTTGTTCTTCCATTTCAGCACACTAACCATTAAATCTAAGGCAGGCTGTCTCCTTGAATTAATATTCAAATTAAATCTGCTCTGTACCTTCACAGATGATTATTTTTAAATGCTCGCTTTTACCAATGCAAAGAACTGCCTATGCATAATAACTGAGATGTTATCACTGACCACATACTTGTGTTGAGGGGATTGTCTCCCTGGCAAAATTAAAGATCCTTCCTGAGCAATGGTGCTGACTCTGGAATCAATGTGTAATGAAGGAACGGATGTGGGTGGAGAAAGGGGGTAGGATGAGTGCTGAGTCGATTTCACTGAAATATCAGCACTTGACATCTTTGAAAGCAAATTTCTTGTACAAATATTTGCCTTTGTAGGGCTGCTTGCAAAATGTCCCACTTGTCTGTATCCTGCCTAAGGTTTTCTCTATGTATGCATGTTTTGATTTAAAAGTTTATTCTATGTTTGTTATTAATTGTAACAAATACAATTATTTGTTAAAATAGAATATACTTATAGAACATTTATGTTTTGCTATATATTTTTACACTGCAAGTTTGAAACCTTATTTGTAACCACAATACATTTTGCAATTCAGGTTGATTTTGGCATGAATCCACAGTGCAATTCACTGTATTTAATGGTTTGGGTACCTCATGGATATGATCTCAGGACCAATGGTGAGGTTTAGGCAAAAATAACATTTTGACTCTTCTTAAAGGTACAAATAATGGAAACAGTATTCTGATTATTTGGATTCTATACTTTTCTAGCTTAAGTAAGCAACAATGTCTATGAAAAAAATAACACCCTGGTGCCATTTTAATCCAAAGCTTAAAATAGTGTGTGTGCATACTTATATTTACATATAAATACTTCTCCAGATAAGAAATAACACAGCATGAAAGATGAACATTACCCCTGCAATCTATATCTGTATCTCCTACTCACAGTCACTTTGGAAAGTTAATTTTGCATGTTAAGTCTCAATTTTCTCATTGACAAAATATGTATATCTTTCTTGAAGTACTGTTCTTAAGTTATCATAAATCTTTGTAACATGCCTAGCACTATGTCTATTGCTTATAAATGGAGCTATTACTATTTCTCTTCATAGTTGATATACTTCATGAGAAAATTTCTTCAAAGTTCAATTCTTAATTATTAGTAAAAGTCATTATTTTTAAGAAAAATACTTATAAAAGAATCCATTTGCATTGTTATTATTTTAAATTTTCTTATATGCAATCTGAACTTTTTGTTTATTCAGGGATTTCCATTTGTCCAATCATTTTATGAAAACCCTAAGCTCAAATATGGGGCAACGAGACCATAGGGGTTCTTTTAGAGCACAGTACAAACACTTGTGGTATTCTCCACTTCCAGTGAATAATTTCCTTTCATATGCATGGGTCTCTGGCATGCCAAACTCTCCTAAATAACATTTCTAGGCTAAAGCAGCTCCTGGTCTTTTAGAACCATAGGGAACTCTTGGACTTAATTTTCAAGTTAATATCATTTAGGAATCCTAAGCAGTGTCAAGGAAAGGCAGATGTGGTGGGGATTTCTTTGATTTTTTTCCTCTTCTCCCATAAATCTTGTTAAACCTGGCACCAACTTGCACAAGAGGCAGAAGACGACCACTGTGAGCTTCTGTGGCACAACTTTCACTATCTAATCAAGCTTTATTTAATTGTATAATAATATAATTGGAGATTTGACAAAAAGGACATTTATTTACATATTTTAACAAATTATCTTGGAAGCACAAGAGTGAATATAATAAAGTCTTTGGTTTAAAATTTTTTTAAATATTAAATTAAGCCATAAACAAGACATGTAGAATATATATACAAAGACATTTGAAAACATGATGCTGCCAATTTAAGGACTGCTGAACTGCTGGGATGAAGCACATGTGGTTGTCTGCTCTCCTGCCAAGAGGAATGCAGAAATGCTGAATCTAGCATTTTATGCCCCATCTGAATAAAACCTACCATGTATTTCTGGCTAGTTTAACTCAAAAGCTATTATTTCTTTTCTTTTCTTTTCCCTTTTTTTTTTTCAGAATATTACAGGTGTACATTTTGCATACATAAATTGCTTTTATACTGTTTGAGTCAAAGTTATAAATGTGCCCAGCTCCCAGATAGTGTGCATTGTACCTATTAGATGTTAATTTACCCAACCCCTCTTCCCCCATTCGCTTGATTATCAATGGATGTTATTTCTGTATGTGCACATAAGTGTTGATCAATTAGTTTCAATTTCATGGTGAGTATATGTGATGTTTGTTTTCCCATTCTTGTGATAACTTCACTTAGAAGAATGGTCTCCAGTTCCATTCAGGTTAACACCAGGGGTATTACTTTGCCATTTATTTTATGGCCGAGTAGTACTCCATGTTATACATATACTACATTTTATTAATCTACTGAAAAGCTATTTTTTTATTTCAGAGTATATCAAGTCTCTACACAATTTCAAGTAACTCTAAAGTTTGTTTCACATTGTTCAGCCTAACATAAACAGGATGAAAAATATTATGATTGCAGTATTTTTTTCAATTGTACATAGAAAAACAAAAAAGTTATTTGATCTTTAAGGATCAATATTTTGGCAGTGAAAATTCTTACCACATTTGACGGCTCTAATTTCTTCCTTCTGGCAAGATCAGTAATGTTGATGCCATTGTAGTTAATGCTTTCCATGCAACCTTTGAAATTCTTTCTACTGCTGGAGCTTGGCTTTCCAGAGAAAGGTATACCTCCAAAGGTTATCTTTGAAGAAAAAAAAACAAAGTGTAAACATCCACACTGCATTGCAATAAAACCAGAAAAAACTCTGAATCCAGCCAAGTTAAAGTATCTTTACCTAAATCGAATATATAAACATTATAGTATTCTGCCTCCAGAATCTGTTGCACATTATGTTGTTATTGAAATGTATAATGGAATCATTAATTCTGATAAGTAGATTATAGCTTGAACAAGAAAATAGTAATAATTCTTTGCATTTTTGCTGCCCCAAAGGCATTTTATAAATTTTCTTGAGAATATTTTAAAAGATTTTTGTCCAGGAAACTCCTTTGATCAAATAGTATTAAAATATATTTTCTGTCTATTATTCAAAGACATACTATCAATAAATGCCTCTAATAATCATGAGATAACTGGCACTAATATAAGTTCATAAAACTGCAACCTGAAACAAGGAATATTGTATTTACTTTATGTAGGCTTGTTGTCTAACGGCATTAGAGCCAAATGTTTATTAAACTTATTTTGAAAGAAAATATGTCTCTTAAATAAGTTGAGTGGTACAGGCCTAAAGATAGTATAGGTCTTTCAAATCCTGATAAATAAGGACAATGTTACTTACTGTGTTTCTTTGGCTACTTTTGCTCATAGACAGAAAGTATGTATTTTTTCATATAGATTTGGTCAAGTTAAAGGACTGCAGCATTAAATTCATATAATACAAACTTACATTTAATATCAATATGTATGCCCAATTATGACATTTTCTACTAACAGTGAATTTCTAGTAAATGAAGCTAACTACTATTTATAGTTGTAATATCAAGATATAGGATCCAGATGTTAGATATCTTTTAAATTATTCTTGAGTATTACCTTTATCTATTTTCTTAAATTTTTTTGGAGAATGAAAGCAGTAGTGAAGACATTTTTAAAAGTCAGGACTTCAGATTTGAAACATAAAGCAAAGATCTTTGTGTTCTACAAGACTCATGAACAAATTATGTTCTTTTATTTAGTGTCATGACATTTGAAATGCTCACTTAGTTTTAGGGGAAAAAAAATTAATGATGGCTTATGAGATAAGAGCAAAAAAACCTTAAAAGGCCTTCCTTAAAGTAAAATCAGTTACTATAAATAATGGCTGGCTGAATATGTATTAACTGCCACAGAGTTCATCGATACAAGGAAAAAAAGAAAATTCAGAAAAAACAAAAATAGACACTAAAGAATTAGGAAAGTACAAAAGAAAAAATAGAGAGCAATCTAAAACAGAATCACGGGGAAAATATTTTCAAGTTGTACTGACCAAACCAATTAGGTGCTACATAAGTGTAGCTGATAGAAAAAGACATTATTTTTGATACTAAAATGGAGTAGTGTATTTCCTGTTTATAATGTCTTTGATCCATTTCTTCCCCAACTGAAAGTAATACAATCATCTATGTCTGATGACATTTAGCATCACATTTTGAATAATATTATTAAATAATAGTTTAAAATTATTGTTTTAACCCTCTGTGTGCATAGTCTCTTTAACCTGGACCTTTCATTTCCTGTTGGGATGACGATTCAAAGGCTCCCTGTGTTTTCTCTGCTTCCAGCAACTCTGGGCGCATGTCTTCCCTCATCAAAAGGGTCCTGGGAAAGCACCACAGGCTCAAGTTCACAGACTCCTGACAATTAAGTGGTTTCTAATCCTAATTCCTAATGTAACTAGTTATATTGTATTAGGTTGTCACTTACTCTGTCTAGTCATATATTCTTATTGGTAAAATAAAGCAGTTGGACCACAAAATATGTTCTGATACTTTAATGCCTCTGCCAAGAAAAAAATATGTTGCAGTTGTCAAATTAATATTCACTTATTTGTGTGGCTCCTAGGATAAGCTTATTTATGATACTGCCATTCACTAACCTTGCCTCTAAAGAAATAACTGTGCAACAATTTTGTGAGCTACCAAGTGTTTACAAAGTGTGGTAGAGACTACTAGATATGTCTAAGTATCCTTTTTCCCCACCTTCTTTAGAGAAAAAAAATTTGCTTTTTAGCTGGGCACATTGCTCTCTGGTCCATATAAGACATTTATCAACTTCTTTAAAGTAACTTCTGGCTTCATAACATTTAAGTGTAAGGGCCACGTGTGACTTAAAGAACTGCCATTGAGTGGGGAGGGAAGAGTCCTCTTTTCTCTCTCTCCCTTCCTGCTGGCTGGACACACAGTGGGATGTCCATAGCCGCACCTTGGAGTGGTTTGCCCCAGGGACAGAGTAACAGCAAGATTAAAGGGGTCTGTGGTCTTGACAATCACAGAACTGCCTTTGGGACCTGGGCTACCTACTTTCAAACACCTTTTATATAAAAGAGAATAAACATGCATTTGCTATATTTGCATTTGCAGCCTGAGTAACCTTAAGTGAAACATGTATATATATATATTTTTTTCTATGACTTCCTAGCGCCTCCTCATATAACCCTATGAAAAATACGCTATTTTATTCATTTTATAGAAGGGGGATATGACTTGTCCACTGTCACACAACCAGTAAGAGTCTGAAAGGGATTCAAACTCAGGCTTCTGCTCCTGTTTGAGCCCACGTGATTAATTTTCTTTAAAATCTTGGCCAGTTCAGGGTTCTGTAGTAAACAAGAGGGAATCATTCCTCTACTTCCTTAGCACAGCTGAATTGCAAAAGACAACAGCATAACGTCCATATCCGGTATATGCTGGAGTTTAACTGAAGAACAGAGGGAATCCAGGTCAAATGCCAGTTTGCTGTTCCCTGCCTTTTGTTTTCATTGGTTTAGAGAAGAAAAAAAAATGAAGCAGAGCTCCTCTGTGTATCACACCTCCCCTACCTCTGGTCACCTTTGGCCAGCAGCGTGACCACGGACAGTGCGAGGCTCACTTTGTGGTGTACGTAGCTACAGAGAAGACAGGGTGAGGTGAACTCTTAGGCCATATCCCACCAAAAAATGTCCACATTGAGTGATGTCAAAGCAGGAAACTTATGTTCTATTGCTTCTTTCATGATGTATACCTCTGGGAATGGTGATGGGTATATTTCCTTTGCCCCTAGCAGTACTGTCTTGGATCCTACCCATACTGGCTCATGAGAACAGACTGCTCTCAAAAGTCATCTCTACCTCTTACTTTCATGTATGTTCTTGAGGTTATTTATTGTATCTACATGATGGAAATACTGTACAATGGTGTGCAATTGGACACTTTTCCCCAACTCCCTGCTCAGTGCTATCATGTTGGTAGCACAAAAGCAAGAATGGTGGAGAATTTGCACAGTGAAAATTAACAAATGCTACCTACACGGGCATTCCTCTTCTTCCTCCCTGGAGAGAACCAGTCGTTTAGCATTTATCAGCACACCCCTGCACTTAAGCCTCAATGCTCTTGGCCTTAGACCATTCTGGGAGTACTGAGGCAGCACAATCTCAGGGAAGCAGGACATAGCATCTTCAGGTTTTGAGAGGTAAGAACAGGTTTCTGATCCTTGAGGCTAAATACTTTAAATGCTTCAGTATGAACGTTCTATAAGTTGTATTGTTTTAGGTCTGAGGCTAATTTCCACACAGTCTATGAGGTGTGAGCCTAGCTACTGTATGTATACATCAAGGAGTAAGTACAACACTGAGAAACTGACTCTTATAGTTCCTGATTTTCTTTAAACAAATAGGCAAAGGGAGTCCCTTTCTTTTAAGATACACTTGTAGAAATAGAAAGGTAGGCACAAACACTTTTACTGCAGCTTATGCCAATAACTTCAGTATCGAAGAAGAGAGTAACTTGGGAGCAAGCAGCTCTACAAAGAGAAATAAGTTACATATACTGATTCTCTCTCAGTAAATTTAAATTTATTCCTAGTCTCTCCCTAACAAATACATCCCAAACATTTTTGCGTATAGCTGAGGTTCCAAACATGGCATTGTATAGAGATGGGCTTCAAAGTATTCACAAACCTGTTGGCCCTATATGGAAAACGTTGTGTGTGCATGAATATTCATAGACTTCATCACAAACTCAATAGGGTCTATGAACCCAAATTTTTAATTATATATTTTTTTGAAATTGGAATTATTGTTGCCTGTTGCTAATGCTCTAGGATATCTCACCTCTTCTATGGCACTTCAAAGTTTATTAATGGAAGATGAATAATTCATCTTTAAGATCTCTTATACATTGGAAGAAAAGTTACATGAGCCACGACCTACACTAATTTGGAGAAGATAGAAATTCCTGGAATTGTCACATTACTTTCGACAATTAGAGATGAGATTTTTTGGGGGGAGAGGGGAAACAATTATATATTTCCCAATAGCCTTACATTTACTTCATCTTAATATAGTCTCCATCAGGTTTTATATAGTACATTCTATTCTAAATTTTTTATCTAGGAACATATACAGTATATTCATATTGAAAATAATTAAAAACTATTTAAACGTATAAAGAAAACAGAAAATATAATTCTAAATTTTGTCTTTTCCAATTAAAATTTTATGGTGAGCATATTCCACATTCATAAAAATTTGTATGTAAATATATATAATACAAATATATGTATATATCTGCAATTTCAAAACTGAGTGCCAAGGATCACTAAAATGTCACAGTAAACTCATCGGAGTGGCATAGTATATTTTACATTTTTAAAGGAAACACAATATATGACATCTTTTGGACACTGTATAAAACACTAGCTTAAGGTAGTTAACTTTCCCAATACTAGATCATGCTACATTCCTTTTAATAATATGCCATTTTTGTGAAGTTGGGGTTTTGGTCCTTACTCTTATAAAAACAGATGATCACATTAAATGAAAAGTGGAACAGAAAATTAGGATGTCATTGTCAAATCTGATTCAAAAATCTGACAATTGTGCAGTGCAAGAGCGCTTATTCCCCTAGTAATACTGTAATTTAAGAATGAAATACAAATACACTTTTTCTTTTATTTTTTTGAGCATTTCTTCAAATGCCTACCAAATTTTGGGGACATAAATTTTTAAGTTGTTTTGGGCCTAGTACTGGTGTGGAAAAAGTACTAAGATAAAAACTCCAGAAACTAAGACAGTTTGAAAGCCTCTGGCTGAACAATATTTTATAATTTTTATTTTACTGTTATGCTGTTTTTATGTATTTAGTGTTATCCCTTTTCTGCTAGTATATATTATACTGTGACAAACATCTTAAAGAACTCTTATGTCCATATATGATTAATAGTTTTGATGGACATTTTAAGGTTGAATTGTTCTCCAAATAATTTATTTTAAACCCTGATGTGTCTACTATTAAGTTATGAGCATATTCTTTTTACTGTATCAATATTATCATTGATTATTTCTTAATATCTACATATTGGGAAGGTAAAATTTATCTTTTTATGTGTGGACAACCCTCAAAATATTCTATATTTTAATTTATTTTATGACAATTATATATGAGAAAATAGAACTTGTCAAAAGACCTACCTGCAGTTATGAATTTATAACTGTCTCAATATAAACCAGAAGCCAGGATTGTTTATTGAATATTTTATACCAAACATTAGACAACCCTGTGTAGGCAACATACTGCATATCCTCAAGAGCCACTGATAACATAGTGGGAAGAGGACAAATTGATTTATTCTGAACTTATTACATGCTGTGATAGCATGCTCCCTTTCTTCAAATTATTACATCAGCACTGAGATTTTAAAACTATTTCAATAATATTTCGTGTTTATCAATTTAAAAATTAATAAAATGACCTAGATTCATAAAATTAGGTTTTAAAATTGTTACTTTCTTTCTGTTTGGAAAAGAAAATGAAAATAGAGTAGGGACGTATGTGATTAACAGTGATGACTACTACAGGACAGTAGGAGATGGGACAGTCACTCGACACCTATCACAATTGACTCATCATCACGAGTACCTCGTAGTCCAAGTCCAGGTAGTCGAACTCCCCGTTGGTGCGGAAGTGCTGCGTGCCCCTGTCCAGAGTGAGGTTGATGCTCCGTCCCTGGCGTTCCACGACCACGGAGTGCCAGTGGTGATCGTCCAGCAAACTTCCTGTCATCACCGACGTGTGGCCGTATATGGGGCCAAGCTGGTTGCTTCCTAAGTCACGAGTGTGGAGAGAAAAACAAAACAAGGCGGTGATCTCACGGCCACCTCCATGGAGTGGAAGAGACTTCATTTACAACACCTACAGGCTGGCACCTATCAAAGCTCCGCTCAGTGAAAGTATGTAACTACATTTTAAGACAGTTTATGGATGAAGTGCATAAAAGTTATTAAATATGGGGGGAAAATCTGCTACCTGAAAAAGAAAAAAACACAGATTTTTTAAATGTTTTTTTTTTTTGACTGTGCCATGAACTCTGCTAAATTTTGGCAGGTTCCTTATAAAGTCAGTGTCAGGAGGGCTTTGACGTCAGGATGCTGGGTTTTGATGCTGGCTCCACCCGCAGCTTGGGGTATGATCCCGGGGAAGTTGATGGGTATTCTGGGTCTCTGTTTTCTCATACATTCAACGGGGGAGATAGCAGTAGCTGCTTTCCAAGGTGGCTTGACGATTAAATGAGTGAGTACATGCAAGGAATTTAATATACTTCTTGTCATTTATAGAGCATAGCTGTTACCTGTTAGTCTGTTACTACTTTTACCATTCTTGATCAACACAACATAGCATGGCAATTTTCAGTTTTGGTTGACTCCAAAGGCCATTGTAAAACATTATCTAATATTTTAATGATGTGGAAAATTTATATTATCATTTAAATTAAAATGAAAACATTCAGAAATATATATATATTATATATATATTATATATCACGATATATATATAATATATATATATCACGAATCTAGCTTTGAAATAAAGAAGATTTCCAAAGGAACAAAACTATAAATAAGAGTAAATGTTAAAGCAGAATCCCAAATGCTTACTGGTCACTAAGTTTAACTCCGATATTTTCTTTCTTTTTTTTTTTTAAGATATAAGGTCTCACTCTGTCACCTATGCTAGAGTCCAGAGCTCACTATAATCTTTAACTCTTAGATTCACACCATCGTCCAGCCTCAGTCTCCTGTGTAGCTGGGACTACAGGCTGGGACTATAGGCACATGCAACCATGCCCGGCTAGTTTTTCGAAATTTTTTTTGTAGAGATGCATTCTTGTTCTGTTGCTCAGGCTAGTCTCAAACTCCTAGCCTCAAGAAATTCTCCTTCCTTGGCCTCCCAAAGCAGTGGGATTATAGGCATGAGCCACCATGCTTGACCCTCAGTCTCCTATTTTGTCTAATCAAGTATTGCTTTATATGGTCAGGCAAAGTTAAATGCTATAAAAATATAATAAGGTTTCATAATAAATAGCATAATGGAAATGAGAGAGATATACAATTGACTGTCACATTAAGTTCTTCATTTTTTTTTTCTTTTTGACATTTAGTATGCTAATGATCCCTGTACTGTATACTTTCTATGGCTTTCCTAGATCAACTTTTCTTCACTTGTGGTAATAAAATCAAAGGTTGATGTGTGATTTTGTGTGTGTGTGTGTGTGTGTGTGTGTGTAAAATGAGACAGGGAGAAGGAAAGGGTATAGAAGAAGAGGAGGGGGAGAGAGTAAGAAAAGTAGGAACTAGTATGAGTGAAAATGCCACACTGAGTGTTATTACTTTAAATATTTATATTAGGAGACTAGGCTTGATATGTAGGTAAATGCATGAAAGACTGACAGGAGATATTTGAGTGCATGTATTTCTCTGGTTGCCATAAATTCCAGGCAGTCAGTAAAACTCTGTAAATAAACTGCTTTCCAGTGAAAAGGTAATAAACTTTTTTTTGTGAGCTCATATAATCAGTTACTTGTTTCAAAAGATTAATGTCATACCTCTATAAAGCACAGCTGATTCTAAAAGGTTATTCTACATGTTTCATTTTGGAAAAAAAGTTTCAAAAAATAAACATCTTTCGATACAACTCCACTGCTGTGTGTGTGCCTATGTGCGAAGGCACGTATTTTACAACAGTGTTTATATTTTGTTTCTGGTTTCTCTCTCTCCATCACCCTTTTGTTTATTCTATTGAGTCTGTTTTAAAAATTATTTCAGGCTATTTTCCCCTAGGTAGTACAAATGTTTAAGATATATTGTCAAATATTTTTATGAAAATATTTTCTGGTTTACAGAACAGTATAAAGCACCTTTTGGGCACATATTCACCAGCACTGATAGCATTTTAAAATCTATTTACTTACATGAGAAATATTAGTATTTTGTTATTTTATAGTGCGTTTCTTTTATAGCTAATGTGGTTGAGTATTTGTTGGTTATAGTATATTTGTATTTTTATATTTCTCTTTTATGTCGTCTTTTCTATCCTTTGCCTATATTGTCGCTTAACATCTTGGTATTATTGTGCAGTAGTATAATTTCTTATTAATGAGCTACATTGAAGCTCTATATATGACATTTGTATTTGCCAGGTTTTGCATGTATTGTAATGGTATTATTATAATAAAAGTAATATTTTGTGTAATTAAGTGACCCAAGTTTTTTGTGTGATTTTTCTTCTTTCTTCTTTTCTTATAGAAGCTACTATTTCAATCAGATTAAATTTTGAATGTGAAAAGTTTTATAATAAAGGGTATATCTTTAAGATGAAGTATCATTACCTATAAAAAACTAATTAAAGTTGCATTTTTTAGTATAATACTAGTTTTCAAAGTAATAAAATTAACATATGAGATACGAGCCATATTCAGGAATGTTTGGAGCACTCAAACTGATAATTGATAAATAAGTCAAAGAGCTTGGAATCCTTCAACAAGCAAGAGAAAGAACAGATATCTTTGCTGCATTGTAATTTTGAATGCTAGTACCTATGTTGTGGTTCTTTCCTTACTTTAAGCTATAAGGAAATCCTAGCTCCATTATTAACATGCAAACATACATTAGTATTGTCCACTTAAACACAACAAAAACCCAAAACCAAAAAAATAACCCCTTTGAGCTTATCTTCTTCTCCAGCCAACGTTTCATTTCCCTGCTTCCTTCATTTCTAGTTGATCATATTCAAAATATTTACTTCCACATCTTTCATTCCTTTTTTTCTAACCTGTAAAATAGTCATTAAAACTCTTGTCTTTTCTAGTCTATATTGAGAGTAAATTAATAATTTCCATGCTATCAAAGCCAATATTCACTTCTCTATCTTCATCTTCCATGACATTTTAGATAAATTCAGAAAAGTTTGGATAAATTCAACACAGTTTTTTGTTTGCTTGGTCTCTGTGATACTACATATTCTTTATTTCCTCCTACTCACTGTCTACTTCTCCTTACTCTCCATTCTAGCACTTTCTCCTTTCAGTCTTATACAGGAGACTACATAATAGAAAGCTCTACTTAGATGTTTAGTAAGCAACTCAAAGGAACCATGTCCAAACAGATTGCTAGAGTGCCCCCTGGAGTTTTCTCTATTTCTGAAAATGGCACTAATGTCTATTTGGTGCTCATATCCAAATCCCAAGAATCATTCTTTATTTCTACTCTTTTCTTCTTATACCATATCCAATGCATGAAAACTCATGCTGAATTTACCACTAAAATAATTTCCCTGCAAGACACATTTCTCCGCATCTCCACTGAAATCCGCCTCACATAGGCCATTATTATCTCTCACCCAAACTACGCAAAAGACCTGCTTTGAGCCTTATGCCGACACAAGCAATTCTTCTTACGGAAGTCTCAGAGCACTTTCGAAAATAAGACCATAATACCATATGCTTTAAAGCCTTCCAATAGCTCTCCATTCTTAAAATAATACCTAAACCCTGCACCATGCCCTGCAAGATCCCACAGGATTTAGACAATTTCCACTTCTTGGATTTCATTTTCTATTTTAGTAACTCACTACCTTTACCCCACACCAGCTTCATTCCTTGCGCATGCCAACTCCTTGTCTTCAGTGATCCTTCCCTATAAAACCCTCCTCCTCTTCATCTTTTCCTGGAGAGTTTTTTTTTCATCGCTCAGATCTGACCTTGAACATTTCCTGGATAGAGAAGACTTTCCTTACTACACGTTCTAATGTTGGCCCTGCTGCCTCTGAAAGGCACATATGAACCTTTGCCTCTTATCATAGTAACCTATTCAATAGATCTCATAACACTCATTATTTTAAGTCATTTTTGTTTTGTTGTTTTAAAATAACATTTGTACCTCTATAATATGCTGAAATAAAAAAAAGGACAAAAAAATAAAATAAATAAAATAATAGTCATAGATGATGTATTGTCTGATCCCTCTACTATGTCATAAACGTCATTAGTTTAAGGACTTTGTCTCTTTGTTTCCTGTCGTCTGCCAAAGGCTAGCAGCATACAGGCACAATAAACATTTTTTGAAAGAACAGTCTATCATCATGTACCAACCACTGTGGATTAAGAATGAATTGACAACATAATGCGAACTTTCATAATTTAACTCTTTAAAGGGTTAAGCAACATGAACATTTTCCTAATGGGAACCTTAGGAAATGGAAAGAATGGTGCCACGAGTCCGAACGTACCTAAGTTTAAACTGAGGACCAGCTTGGCTTTTTTCAGTTCCAGAGTAATGTAATCCCCTTGCTGCCCTTCTCCATGTAGGATCACCCCTTCGCTTTCAGAGGTTTTAAATTTCAGGGCAATGACATCCTTCAGTGTTTTCATCTTCTTGTTTCTGAATCTATAGGGTAACACAACATGGCCGTCGAAGTTGATAACATCGGCCCCTAAAAGAAAAAAAGGAAATAACATTTTAGTTCAGTCACTGGATGTTACAATCCACCTCTAATGGGTGATGCACAGAATAACTGGGAATTAAAGAAGTGTTTTCCTGAGAAATCTAGAATCCCAGGTTCTTAGTTTATGTTTTATTTTGATTTACAGTGCTTTCAAAAGGAGATTTTTATGGGGAACGTTGATAAAGAATGATCGTAAAGCCCTTATCAATATAAAATTTTACTTTGTAATATTATAATATTATAAACTCAATCAACGTGTTATATGCTTCAAATTTTAACTTGGGAATGTAAAGTTTAGTCCAAAAAAGTAAATATTACTTGACATAATTTTTTTTTATCCCTAAGAGTTTGCAGGAGTCAATGTTTTCTTCCTTAATGATAATTTTTCATGGATTTTTAAGTGTATATTTTACTCAAAAATTGCTTTTTTTGACACAAGAATGAAGACACTTGGAACGCAGTGTTTGGTAATATACTCATTTTTTTTCCTAATGGTTTTTACATTTCACTACTATTTTAGTAAACTTTACTGTAGTATTCAGAGTTTATAGCCTATTGGACTTTCGAAAACTTCTTAAAAGGTCCTTTAGGCATCATATATGTGTGAAATTCCTTATTATTAGCTCCTTGCATTTGAAATAGAGAATTGGGCACCAATGTTACTGACTGCATTGAACACGGACATCCTCACCTATATATGAGTTAGAAGAACAAATATCTAGCCTGTACTATGACTCCAGCAGTTCTAATTTTAAGCAATTACATTAAAATAACAAAAGTATATAAGCAGAAGTATAGAAAATTTTGTCACTATTGTCTGAAATAGGTGACTGTGAGGATTGGTTTCATAACTGCTACTTGTGTGAACTATGAGATATTATGTTTTATATATTATTGGTCAATGGGTTCCCAATTAATAGGACAGTTCAAAGATACATTATAAACATTCATATCAAACGTTGATTTCAAATAGAAGCTTAGTTACTTAGTTACTACATCATTAGACTTTGTCATTGAAATATTTTCAAAATTCCACTTCTGTTAGCTTTTCATTTTTAAATCATTGAAAACCTAGTTCGACTGGATATCTCTAATTACTTTAGAATTACAAGCCCGGACAAAGCTAGCCTCTACGTTTTGAGCAAGGTCTGGCTAAAGAACCCCACAGGGAGGTACTGGAGAAAAATAATAGCAGTTTAAAGCCTCTCAGAGAAATGTTTTCGCATTTCATGTCCTACTTCTCTTGCATTTGTATACTTTGATCACCACAGGGAACGCTTTGGCTTGCCTTGTAAGTAGAGCATACCACCAGATAAATCCCAGAGGTGATGATGACGTAGAGGGGCAGAGATACTGCAACCCCACCCACTCTTTTTTGCTTTTCAATTTTTTGATTTTTGCCTAATTCTAAATTTGATTTACCATATTCTCACAGTTGTTGTGAATACAGTTATTTCAAACATTAGTTTAAATCAAACCTAAGCTTTCTTTTCAAATTGTCAATGGCTTTCACATGCTTTAAAAATATTGTCTTCCTATCTCAAATATTTATGTTCTTAAATAATTCTGGACAATGGACAGTGTCAAATTATGAAATGTTTAAAAAAAACTTTAAGTTTTAATTCTTATAATCAGTTCTTTATTGCCCATAAAAAGACTTTCTTCATCAACAGAATTCTGTTCTCTGAGACTGTGAATCACAGAGGTTTATTTTAATATGAGGGGGAAAAAATCAGCCATTAAATTTTGGCTTCTGCTAACACTGCAGAGCCAATTAGACTCCAGCTTAATCATCTATACTGTCACAGCTGAATTCCAATGGCAATGTCTTTATCATCTGTGATGAGAAATAAAGGAGGGAAAAAATGGAATCTGCTTTTCAGATCCCAGGTTGAATTTATAATCCAGCAGTTGGTAGAAATTACTTTTTGTCTTGGAAAGTGAATAAATGAAAAACAGAAGAAGGGAGTAAATTCCAAACTCTAGAAAGAAATGAATATTGCAGTCAATTTCATGGCAGGGACAGGTGAATAATAGACATATCACTGTTTTTTATATATGTATATATCATATATGCATTATGTATATATTTTTATGTCAATATATGTTAAGTAACATAAAATATTTCTCATTCATCTTTCAGGAAGTAAATGTTCTCTGAGCTTGGATGGAGGAAAGAATTCACCTTTCATATATTTTCTCCTAAATCGAAACCTACTTTCGGTCTCAGGTACACCATAGTGAGGTATGCAAATGTTGATGCCTTTCTGCCTTCCTTTTAGGACAATGAGAAAATGTGACAGAAAGGATGAGTGTGGTTTATTTTTTTTAGGCAGTCCTAAGATATTAATAAAAACAGGAAGGAAGGCTATTCATGTAGAACAAGTCTGATTTTACAATGGCAAGTGGTCAGTAGTCAGCTGGGCAACATGAGGTGCTCTGCAAGCCAAATCTCCTATACTATAAATGAAATTGTCTTTCTATGAATAGGTTAAATGTTCCCAATATATTAGCATGTTCTCTTGTGGATATGAACTCCAAGGTGTCTTGAAAATTATAAAATTCCTAGAAATAATCTATGATATATACTTTACACTTAAACACATACTGTATATTTTAAGAGTCTGGGATATTGTACAATAATGTACATACCACCCATCACGATTTGGCTGTACTTCCTACAAAAATACATTTAAAATTCTTTTGACATCTAATAATATGTTGGGCTTATTTAGGGACGAGCCACTTTTTTCTTCTATTATGCTGATTGCTTATCACTTCCTAGAATTAAGTTTTCTATGCAGCGATTAAATTTGTATGGTTGAACTGTTTAAGCAATCTGAACAACAATAATGGCTAGTCAAAAAGTGAATGCAAAATCATAGTGTTTCCACAGTTTTGTTTCTAACAATAACTCAGAGAGCTGGTAATATGCCCAATTCATCAAATCATCATGGTAGAAATGCTTTTTTTATAAAAAAATTATTGTTATTTAGTCATCACTTTCTAAATTTGAATAAGATAATTTGGAAAAATGTTTAGCACCTAAAGATTTTAATATTTTTAAAGATATCTTTGCTATATATTTTACTGCAAAATATGTTTATTATTAAAAAGAAATTAAACAACACAGCTATACAGAAAGTAGAAAGTGAATCCCAACCACAAGAGATCACCAATATTAATGGATAATAGGTTGGTGCATATCCTAGATTTTAAACATACAGCTATCTATATATCCATCTATCTAATGTATGAAATAATTCACATTTATATATATATATATACATGCATATGCATATAATATATAAATGTATAACACATGTTTTATATATACATTATATATAATATAAATATGTAAAAATTACTTCTAGTAAAAGGCAAAAGATTTATATAAGCTGAAGAGAACCCAGAATATAGAATTACTTTTAATGCCTTATTTTTTCATTAAAATGTTTCATTTACTTGTAGAAGATCTGAGAGAAAAGGAGAAAGTTTACAAAAATTAAAAGGTAGATATTTAGCTAATCAAATTCTGTGTATACTGTTTTGGATGATTTTTAAATTGCATACACAGAATAAATATTCTATCTATGTATGTATATAGATGCACACAGGGATAATACTATATGTAGTTTTATGTTTGGCTTTTGTTACGGGACATTTTTTTAACCTCACATCATAATTTTTTTTTTCCAAAACAGGATTTTGATTAGCTAAATATCTACCATCATTTGGATGTCCAATTCCTTCAGTAAGAATTTGTGGGCCAGGCGCGGTGGCTCACATCTGTAATCCTAGCACTCTGGGAGGCCAAGGCAGGAGAATCGCTCAAGGTCAGGAGTTTGAAACCAGCCTGAGCAAGAGTGAGATCCCGTTTCTACTAAAAATAGAGAGAAATTAATTGGCCAATTAAAAATATATCGGAAAAAAAAATTAGCTGGGGTGGCTCATGCCTGTAGTCCCAGCTACTTGGGAGGCTGAGGCAGGAAGATCGCTTGAGCCCAGGAGTTTGAAGTTGCTGTGAGCTAGGCTGACGCCATGACACACTAGTCCGGGCAACAGAGTGAGACTCTGTCTCAAAAAGAAAAAAGAAAAAAGAAAAAGAATTTGTGGTTGCAATTTTGTTTTTAAAATAAACATTTTATTTTGAAATAATTTTAGATTTAGAGAAAAACTGAAAAGATAGTTGGAAAGATAACATTCTCATATGCCCTTCACAGTTTCTTCTAATGTTAACATTTTACATAACATGGCATATTTGTCAAAACTAAAAAAATTAACTTACATACTATTAACTAAAATACAGTTATACCTGGATTTTTACCAGTTTTTCACTAATGTTTTGTTGCTATTGCTGTTCCAGCATTCAATATAGGATCTCACACTATATGTAGGTATCCTTGGTCTCTTCTCATCTGTGACTGTTTCTATGTCTTTCTCTGTCTTTCATAATGTTGATACTTTAGAAGAGTACTGATTAGGTGTTTTGTAGAAAAGACAAGTTGGATGTGTTTGATGTTTTCTTAGGATTACCCTGGTATTACTGATGTTTGGGAAGAATATTGCAAAATTGTGCTATTATACACCTTAAATATAGACAATTTTTATTTGTAAATTATACTTTAATAAAGATGGCAAAAAAATAAGGCTTTCAATTAGAAAAAAAAGAAAACAAAATGAAAGACATTCATTTTTAAAAAACTAAATATAAGGCATTTCATAAATATGTGTAAAGCTTATACATTTAAAAGAAAATTAGTGAAGATATACATTAACAAGTTAGTTTTGAGTATTACATAATTTTTGTAATAAATGCCAAATCACTTCAAGAGTTTGAAATGTATCTCTGAAACTAAAGTTTAAATATGCTAGAAGATGGAATTTGATTAGTTTTGCAAATTTTACACAAAAATAAATCTATATATTCTTTAAGTCAGAGAATATTTTTGATACATTGACCATTCTTTACAAAATAGTGTTACTGC